TTCTTTTTTTTAAATATTTTGTTATTGAAAATGATTTTTAATATCATTCTGAAAAGCATTGCTGAAAATGGGGACTGTCCACTTTTAGCTCATATATGTGTGCTATAACTCACACCTCCTTAGTTGCGAGTATTAAGTACTAACATAGATATTGAGCTTCTATTGTATCTATTAACCACTTTGGATCTTCGTTTGACCAATAAAAGATTTTTTATTATTTTTATATTTTTTTATTTATTAACAGTTTTGTTTTCGAATTTATTATACCAGTTGAGGTACAAGATCGAGTAGAGTTCAGTTTGTACAGTCTAGCAGCGCGATCTCTCCTATTCGTATGACAAGTGCGGCATTTAGCCAAATATTCCTTAATAGACTATGCACAGTATTACCGGGCTGCTAGCTATGTTGTGTTATTTGAAAAAAAAATGTTATTCCGTATTTTTTCCGCTTGCATTTTGGACTTGAAACCGCATTTGCATCTGTGTAGTTGCTACTTACGTAATCGACGCAATAAAGTAAGTAATTTCAAGCATGTAATTTCATTCTTCTCTCGAGACATGCAGCTCTTAACCGTCCGGTCTCTTGCCACCGTCAACGTGCCAAGTCTACTTGAGCCGTCTGGTATTGCAAGAGACGATGGCAGAGACCGGACGGTATGAGTTTGATTCTATGGAGGATGGGCCGGGTGCTGGTATAGGATGCAACCTGTTCAGACACGCTGGCCCCTTCCCATCTACGTGGAACTAACAACAGAGCTGGTGCGGCTTGTGAAGCGGCAGAAAAGGCTAAAGTTTGCAAATACAGGGGTCTAGGCTCCGAATATATTTTTGTCCCTTTCGGTGTCGAGACCCTTGGTCCGTGGGGTCCTAGCGCTATAAGCCTTTTTAAGGAAATAGGAAAAAGGTTAATCGACGTCACAGGAGACCGAAGAGCTGGCAGTTACCTCGGACAAAGAATTAGTCTAGCTATTCAACGGGGAAACGCTGCCAGTATCTTCGGAACCTTGCCTAAAGGACCTCTTTTTTAATAATTTAATTTAGTTATTATAATATATATTTTTAAGGTTTTTAGTATTAGAATTAGTTTGTGAATATGTATTATAGCACAAGACAGCATTAATTTCAAGCAAGCATGAGTCTAGCCAACGCAGGCCGATTGGTTAGCGATAAGGTGCAGTTGCCTTGTTATAGCCAAGTTTGTAGCCAATTGCTGTTTAGAGCACACGTCTTCGATTTTATACGACCTAGACACGTTAAAACTAATTAATTGCGTACGTTTACATTACAATCATAATTGTTATTGTAATTTTGTTTCTATTTTGATAAAAATACTTTTCGAACTGCCAAGCCAAGCCAAGATGTTGTTGTGATGTTCAAACTACACTACAAAAGAATAAAACGTTAGTAACGTACCTCTCAGGTGTGGCTAGCGTGAGATTTGGTGCAGGAAACGCTCCGTCTGCAGCACATATGACGTTCACAGTATCATCATCACTCTTGTTCTGGATCAGGCGGAAGTTCGTCTCCGGTACTAAAACATGACACTTCTTAGAAAATTTTGTAACATGGCACGTGAAGTTTAATGAACAGTAAGAAATAGGCGCGTGCTAAGATGGCGAACTTCTCTCGCGTAATATTAAGCTTCTCGAAGCATTTTTTCTTTATTTTATACTCGATCTTTGATGAAAATTATTTTTGTAGTTATTTTTTCTTATTATTATTCTAAACCAGCGCCCGCTAAATCCCCACCTGATGGTAAGTGGTGATGTAGCCTAAGTATGTGAAGCGCTCTGACTTAACAAAAACCTATTCACTCTTACCTTGAACACTGCACGCAGCACTGTAATCGGATGGAAATACAGATGCTGGCAACTTATTCCATTCCTTTGCTGTACGAATGATGAACGACGTAGCAAACCGTTTGGTTCGAATGTGTGGCAAATCAAAACGAAAGGGTGGACACTGGCCGAACGTCTGATTTTCCGATGTCGAAGGGAAAGGGAGGAATTACATTATGCGTTGCCTGCGCACACTCTCCGAAATGCATCCGTAGAAGACCGAAAGGCTAGCTACTTTGCGTCTGTGTTCGAGGTTGGTAAGATTGGTTTTAACCAAATTTGGGTTACCAATAAGCATCTTAGCACGCCTTTTCATTCAGTGCAAAAGTTACTAGGAGGCATTTTGTAGCACTTCGGCCATATATGGCAGCAATACTCCATGCACGACCGGACTTGCGCTTTATATAAAGTAAGCAGCTGTCCCAGCGTGAAGTATCGCCACACCTTTGCAAGTACTCCTCAAGGTTCCTTGCAACTGCTTTGAACATGGACTAAATGAACCGCCCGAATTTCAGATTTGAGGATATCTCAACCCCCAGCAACTGGAGGCGGTCGGTGTATTCCAGTGATTCATTTCAGAAAGTAGGAGCCAAAGTGAGCTGGCTCCTTTTTTGCAGTGAAGAGAGACGCTTGTGTTTTGGAGGCGTTGAATTTCAGATTAGCATCACCCTATTCAGAGACTGCTTATAGTGTGGTATTCACACGATCCCACCATAAAGCTTTTATTTCGTACTTGATTTGATCCCGACTGGCCCGAGGACTTGGTTGGTATCTCTCAACAATTGTGACGTCGTCTGCGTACCCATAAATACCGGGCCTGAGCAAATCGTTACTGTGCAGCGGGAAGAGAGTTACGGGAGAGAACGGACCCCTGAGGAACACCGGCGTTAGTCCTCACAGGATCGGATGAGCAGCCGTTGACGACGACAGTTTACAGTTTCTGTTCACTTTTATTATATTAGCTGACTGTGTAACATAACTGCTAGAGATTTTTCCTTTCAAAAATGCATCAGCTGGCGAAAATACATAATAATTTTCAAGTATTACAATTATTATTGAATATTCTTTTTTAGAATAAGGGTGTCAAGCGGGCACACAGTCCAGCTTGATGGTAAGTGGATGCTGTGGCCAATAGACCAACAACCAATCCTGAATAAGATTCAAAATGCAGATGCGTTATCACCCCCGAGGGCTAAGATGGAATGCCTTGTATCCAGTAAAAAGGCAGCAGCATTATGCTGCTATTTTACGCTGGTATTACGTGAGAGTGTGGTTCTTCTCTGCTCACGCCGATCAATTCAAGCTTCAAGTATAATACAGATGCAGCGTGGCTCCAGCACGTATAAATTAGACTATTGTCTTGTAGTGCCGGCGTGTTAAGGTAAATCATTATCCCATATAATCTCATGAGTGTCGTACAAGGCAGCAGATGGAAAAAACAGGAGATGAGCAACGGTATCTTCTAAATGAGAAGTGAAAATAATAAGAAACCACGTCCCTGAGGGGCGCGGGTTCGAAACCCTCACGGAATAAGTGTAGGACCGAACGTCCACCGCCGGCTAAACTAAGTTAGTTAAGCTTAGCTCGCATAGTTGAGCCAATTTTTCATACATATGCGTTCACCGCAAACTATGCCAGCTAAGCTACGCGAAATGCCCCAGCTAAGCGGAACTAACTTATGCGGCCGATCCGTAACTAACTGAGCTAAACTAAGCGCCTCTCACCCCCTTGGCTTACCCCACGACGCCTGTCGACAGTGTTGTTCAAACGTGTTTGTACAGTGAGCGTTCGTGCGCGGTTGGTAAAACACGTATTTAGCAGCATGGAGGTGTTTATTGAATATGTCAAGCAGTATCCTGCGTTGTATAATCCAGAGGATAAAGACTACCGTGACAAATAAAAAAGACGGTTTATGGAAGAGGATAGTGGATGAAATGAAAAACCCGAACATATCAAACAGTAAGCTTAATTTATATTGTTATTGTTAGAAATAATTACAAAGGGATTCTTTTACATGGAATGCTTCTCCTGTTGCTCGTACACCGATCGTGAAACTGATCCGTCTTCAGCACTTACTTCATCAAAAAGCTGTTATTGTTTGATTAGTTAAAAGATAATGTGTGTATCACGCAAGCAGCTTTTGTTATTAAATCAACCGATTCTACTTTACACTCCAATGGCCGACGAAATATCCGAAATCGTATTGACAAAATACCAAAAGCATTTTTCTACCACATTTCGCGCTCTGCTGAGATGGTAATTAAAAGTTCCTTTTTTCTCTACTGTTAGGACATGGGCTTTGTGGGTATGGTCTCATAAAATGTTTTTGTAAAGGAAATGCCTGGTCACCTATAAATACGTTAGGTATTGCAGTACCACCTTCTAGGCTGATCACTAGGCAAATTTAATTCATTATTTTGTAACCTTCGTACAAATTCACTGTCAGAAAAAATACCACCATCACTAAATCTGCCCATGGAACCAATATCTATTATAATAAACTTCTTGTTTGCATCGACAACTGCGAGTAATACTACAGAATAGAAATGTTTATAATTAAAATACTGAGAACCTGAATGAGGTGGGCATTAAAATATGCTTGCCGTCGACTGCGCCAACACAGTTGGGGAATTGCCATTTCAGCATGAAATTTTCAGCAATTTCTTTCCATTCTCTTTCAGTCGGCAAACACATGTAAATTGGTTGTAAATGATTCCAAACTGCTTGGCAGATGTTTTTCTACAATCCTAGAAAGTGATCTTTCGCCCACTCTATAATTGTATCGAATTGCTTTGTAGGAGTCCCCTGTTGCCAAAAACCTGCAAAAGGCAATACTTTTAATGAATGCATATATGTACATACTTTATTGCACTATAAAATTACAGTTAACAGCAAAGTATGATTATAAGTTTAAATTTAGAAAGTTAGCCCTAACCTTTTTTATTACTGTTTCAGTTAAAACAGCAAAAAACTAATGGAAGAAATTACGTGATGGTCATCGAGAATCAATAAAAAGAATTAAATCACAACAAGCGGCCAAGCTGCATCAACAACAAACACTTGGAAATATGCCAGTCTACTTGAATTTTTATTGCCTTATATGAAAAATCGCCCAAGAAGTGGTAACGTAAATGAAAGTCAGAATAATACAACAAACAGTACAATGGAAGCTGGTAGTGCAAGTGAAAGCCAGGATATTACAGTTTCACATACTGAGACACATAAAAATACTGATAATGTTTCTAACACTGAATCTATACCATCTACATCTCACAGCTCATCGTCTGAACAAAGGCAAAGAAAGAGAAAGAACGATGAATCTTTAGCTGTTTTACTGAAAGACATTAATGCAAATTATGAAAAGCGTCGCCGTGAGATAAAAGAGAAAGAGACAGCTGAAAGGGAATCAAGAAGACATCCTTTAAAACTGTTTTTGATAGTATGAGCAAAACAGCCATAAAGTTTCCAGAGTGGTTGCAAAGGGACATTAAAAGGAAAATCTTTACCATAATGTTTGAAGCGGAAGATAAGTATGCCAATTACTTATACGGAAGTCAGTTCTCATATGGATATTCAACATCTTCTGCTCAATCTACTCCACGCTCCCAAGACACACCAGTCTCCCAAAATAATCCATACTTCCAAGATACTCAAAACAACGAAGGCACTCCGTTCACTCATACTACTTTCAATTGATGTCTTTATACAACCTAATTTTCAACAAATACACCAAAGTAACTGAATCTGTTTAATTTTAATGTTGATATACTTACCTCAAACAAATAGCCAATTGTTCTTCTGGCTATATAGCTTTTCGAAAATTAGTATTGTTATGAGCTTGAGGTTCGTGACAATAAAAATTGCCGATAAAATTACCTAAATTAACACTTTAATTTACTTTACACAAATTAAAACTAAAAACACTAATAATTAAACACACTAATTCACTTAATTCCGCTCCGAAGCTTCGCTTGTGTCGCCGAGTTCAACTCTGCCCTGCTCGCATCTTGCAGCGCCTATTTATATAATTAGCAGAGAAGCGTCCCAAACATTCAAGTAAATGCGCGCCAGGCAACGAGTATTCGAGTGTAGATTTTCCAGAAACTTAGTTCTTCGGGTGGCGCTGTCGGTCAGAAAGATTTGTGATGTCATTTACTGCACAGCTCCCCCTCGCTCTCGTTCCTGACACTAGATGGCGCTAGTGCGCTGATTTGAGCGCGGCGTAACACTGCCCCCTCCTAAGACATGCTCGTCCCGAGCATTATCGGCTCCATAATAACGCGCGCTAGGCGATCCACATGGATGATCTTAGGAGTCCCCTTTGCGCCTTTCTGTAACGGCTCTGCAATGTCAAGGGCTGTCCTATCCCGTGGTGCACCAACATTGTACAATTTCGATGCTCCTCTACTCCGTGTCTGAGGTCCCCTCACAGCCGCACAACTTGTACATGTACGACACCAATCCTCAACATCGTCACGATAATGGACCCAGTAAAACGTTTCTCGGACCTTCAGTAGAGTTCATTTAACTCCCAGATGGACTCTTGAACGACCATTATGGCACAGCTGTAGAACATTCGGCACTTTAGCTTTAGGGACAACCATTTGCAAACGACAGCTGTCTCCTCGACCATTGTCCCATTTACGGCACAGGACTCCATCCTGAAGCAGCAAGCTGTCCCATTGGGCCCAATAGCTTTTCGTGGTTGAACTCATCGCTGAGACGTCCTTCTACTTAGGCTTGGTAGCACGGGCCTTCATCCATCCCAGAATCGGCTTGATGTCCGGATCTTCCTGCTGTGCATGTCGTAGGCTGTCCTTCCACCCGTTGCTGAGGTGGTCTGTTCTGAGCATCCTCACGGATACCACTTCCTTTCCTTGCCTACTACAATGGTTGCCATCTTCAGGACAAGGACATCTGTGTTGCCGTGAGATTTCCCGCTGCAGTGTCTGATAGTAAAGTCGTATTCCTGCTGCTGCTGGGCGGTGCTGTTAGCCGCACTTCCTTTCTGAGACCGTTCACCTTCCCTTCCTAGGGTGTGCTTCGGGCAGCTGGACCGAAGATGGCCCTTTTCCCCACAGCCATAGCACCTAGGGCTGTATCCTCTGTTGCGGTCGCGAACTGTAACTGCTGCAACCTCCCTGACGCGATGGGAACGATGATCCTGCCGCACGGCTTCTACCTCCAGTGCATGGGCCAAGGCGTCCTTAAGCGTCTCGTGGTGCCCGAGCCTCACAGCAGCTCTGACTTCCAGGTCGCGGATGCCGTCGATGAATGTCTGCACCAGGTTCCCTTCAATGAGCGCAGGTACAGACCGGTATGCTTTTCGCACCAGCTTCTCCACTTCTAGAGCCCACTGCTGCAGGTTTTCGTTGATGCGCTGCACACGATCTTTAAGCTGCGCACGAAAGACGTGTTCCAGGTGAGCGTCGCCATATCTCGCCCCTCAAGGAGTTGCTCATAAGTCACTTCCTCACCGAGAGCTTCCAGAACTGTTAAGGCCTGGTCGCGCAGGCCTAGTGTGAGAGCAGTCATGGCCTGACTTTTATTCCAGCCGTTCGCCTTCATAACAGCCTCGAACTGGATTTTGTAGGCTGACCAGGAAGAAGTCCCGTCGAATGGTGGCACCTTGAACCCACGTAGCGAAGGTGTAGTAGCTACTACGGGAGCTGTAGTTCCCTCCCCAAGTTTGAGTTCGTCAAGTGATTTCCTCATGTCAGCCATTACGTTGTCAACCCGATTGTTCACTTGGTCAATTCGGGTTTCATATTCTTCGATTCGTGTTTCAGCTTCCGACAGGCGGTTGTCATGTTGAGCAACCCTATCCTTCACCTCCCTTATCTCTTTCCCAAAGGTAGAGTGAAGGTCCTTCATGAGGAGCATCTGCTCTTCCGACCGACGAGCCTGTTCCGCCTGCTGATCTTCCAACCGACGGGCCTCTTCCTCCTGTCGGCGGAGCTGCTCCTCTTGTCCGCTCTGCAGCTGCTCTTTTAACTGACGGACCTGTTCCTCTTGTCGGCAAGCCTGCTCTGCCTGTCCGCCCCCGCAGCTGCTCTTCCAACCGACGGACCTGTTCCTCCTGTCGGCGAGCCTGTTCCTGCAGCATCACCATCAGGGCGCCTAAATCAGGTGCTGCAGATGCAGGAGCTACTGACGAACCGGCCTCCGTTGCCGGCGGCTGGCCCTCCGACGTCTGCGGCGTTGCACGACCAAATCTTCTCTGGTCCGTCTCATGCTGGCGTTGACTGCGGGTACGAACACCCTCCGTTTCCTCCTTAGGTAATCGGCATGATTTTATCCCACTTCTGACACCAATTGTTACGAGCTTGAGGTTCGTGACAATAAAAATTGCCGATAAAATTACCTAAATTAACACTTTAATTTACTTTACACAAATTAAAACTAAAAACACTAATAATTAAACACACTAATTCACTTAATTCCGCTCCGAAGCTTCGCTTGTGTCGCCGAGTTCAACTCTGCCCTGCTCGCATCTTGCAGCGCCTATTTATATAATTAGCAGAGAAGCGTCCCGAACATTCAAGTAAATGCGCGCCAGGCAACGAGTATTCGAGTGTAGATTTTCCAGAAACTTAGTTCTTCGGGTGGCGCTGTCGGTCGAAAGATTTGTGATGTCATTTACTGCACAGCTCCCCTCGCTCTCGTTCCTGACACTAGATGGCGCTAGTGCGCTGATTTGAGCGAGGCGTAACAGTATCAATCTTAGCAATATCCTTGGCAATAATTGTAAGTAACTCATCAAACTGTTGTCTAGATACTCGGAGAGTACATCTTAAAATTTTCGTCGTCTAGTTCATTAAACAAAGTGTTTAATTCGCTACTTGTTTTCCAGGACTGAATGTGTTGACTTATCCAGTATCTGTTTCCGTTTTTTTTTTCATAAATAAGCCTTAATCAATCTTCTTTTCCTATGACGATGGTTCCCCTCTAAAGTCTCGTCATTGCTCGTGTTGTCTTCCGTATCACGTCCGGTTAACTCGACGTTCAAGCACAAACTGGCCATCACTAACGTAGTTTTAGCTTATTTATTGGTGGAAGGACAACGTAGTTCTAGTTTAGCTTAGCTTAGTTCACTGAGTTTACTTTTCATTTAGTTTAGCCGGCGGTGGACGTTCGGCTTATATGTTGCTTACAAATAATTGTTTTGGTTCTGGATGTTTGTTTACCTTGTGTAATCTATGTATGAAATCTGCCTCCGTGACACAGGAAAATGCTAGTACAACGTACCGGGGGTAACGTTTAAAAAAATCGTAGTTTTACACTCTGTTGAACTAAATCGTTAGACTTAGATCAGCGTAATAACGAATAGATCACACACAATAAAGTCAGGGAAAACATTTAAACGAACTACTTAATAGCTTGTTCAGGTTGTTTAGTTCAGCTTACATGTTGTAAACACACAAAGCGTAAGCAGATAATTTTGTATATTCCAGGCTTATGTGAAATCATCATCTATATAGTGCCATATCCTAGATCCTCAAATCCCAACTCTACGTAATAATATTTTGAGCCCTTCAATCGATTATAAAGTATATAAAGCATTTATTTTAGATTGTCAGTTTAATTAAGACAGGCTTAGTTGTTATAAGCTATATAAAATTTTTATATTACTTGAGAAAAATTGGTTTGTTGGTTATACACGATTGTAGCCTGAAATAAATCTGGTTCGAATAAAGTCCTTAATATTGAACCGGACCGCTTTAGCGACATAAATAGGTAAGAGGGTCCAGACAGGCTACTAGGCAGAAAACAAACCGTTTCTAGATTCCGTATTTTCGTTAGAATTTTTATAATATATAATTCATTTTATGTGTATTATATACTGTAGATACTATCCATAATCTAAAAATGTACAAAAATATAATGTATACTGATCAGAAATTTAACACCGTCCCCTTTAAATTATTATTTTCAAAATAGTTCTCCACAGGACAGTCTTGATACAAACAGGCTAATTGACAACCGCACGGACACCCGCTTCCGTTCACATCGGAAACCTCTCTGATGTTCCTCTTCGGATAGTTTGGTGGTATTTGTGGAAGTCTTTGCTATCTTCGGAGTAATAAATACATATGTTTTCCTATTATAATTAAACAATGCATAGAATTTATAAAATATCTAAAGAAAAAAATATCTCGTTGATTATTTATCGAATAATTTTATATTATATTATATTTTTATACGTGGTAAAGCCACGCTGCAGCTATAGTATGGTTGTAGCACGAATGGGTTGACTCGAACGGTGAAGGACCATGCTCTCACAGAATACCAGCGTAAAATACTGCTAGTTTCGTATGGTGAGTGTAGAGATCCGGAGACCCATTTTTACTATAAACTCGTCATTCCATCTTAGTCCTCAGGGATGACAACGCATCTGTGTTTTGATTCTTAATTGAGAATAAATGTGTCTATGGGCCACAGTAG